GAACACGTAGGTTTTTACACCCAAAAAATGCAAAAGCGTGGCAAAGTTAATTATTTTTAATTCTTTATACTTATATTTAGATTGTTATTCGTATTATATTTCGAATTTCAGTCCAACGAATAAGGTTTTGTTTAGTATATATATTGCTATTTCTCGAATATTTTTAGAAAAATGCACAGCAGGCTATAGTTTGTTTTACTACAATCCGATGCAACAAGAGCTTAATCTATCTTTAAAAACATTTTAACAGCACGAAGCATTCTAATACCTTTCCAGACGAAGTCCAACAGGTTTCAGAAAAATTATAAATTTGAACCCGTGGAGACCATACCAGACACCAATACAAGAGCACGTCTAATTTTCACATATAAAGCCAAAATAGGTCAACAACTGTTATCTGTCTACCTCTATCATATAAAATTAATTCTATTGCTTTATAGAAATTAATAAAGATTTAAAAGTTAGCATTATATTTCTTGGAAATAAGTAAAATATTCATATTTAATAGTAGTAAAAGCTTTCCCATTATCATTCATGCCTTGCCTTATATCACTACACTTCGTACAAAGCTGGCACAGTAACAATTCAGTCGGAGTACTAAATATAGTTCAAAATAAAACAACTGTCGTTTGCCCTTCATACAGAATTTATAACGTTATTATAAACTCAATGCCGTAAAAAATAGTGTTCATTTCGATTTGAATAACGCGACACTTATAGCTGGATACGCCGACGTCTGCGCGGGCGCACCAGAATTTTTAATTATGAATTAATTAGTTACGATCAACAGTTCTAAACTTGCTCAACTTTTGTCGTTTAATTTTTGTTGTAGGTATTTGAACGTGATTGGTACGTATGACTTTCTTTGCGTTTTAACTAAAAATGAGTCTGATGTATAATAAATATGAACCAAGATTGATCCTATTACGAATTAGAATCACGTTGTTCATTAAAAATTTTGTTCTCAATTTAACGTTTTAAAGGGTAGAGTTAAAAAATAACACAATATCATAATTTGACCTGATCAGTCAGGCAGTTGGCTACTGAGTCACTCACTGATGAATGAGGCTCGATGATTGGTATAACAACAGCACAGTTACAGGTTCGAATCACACTCGTGTAATAATTTTAGAATGTAAAATTAATTTTTAATAGTTTGGTTTCTCTACATCATGCAATTACACGTATTGCAAAGTACAAATATATACACACACATATATCTTTTATATTTAAGATCTTGAATTTCATAACGTAATTAAATTCGTTTGCTTATCGGAAGACCCACTTAGAAAAATTGTGTCACTTCAATTATAAACAATTTCAAAAAGTATTGCAACCATAAACAAAACGTGTTCCATATTTATGTTATAATGGAAAACTGTCACACGATATAATCTGAATGGAAAAATAATATATGTGCATTTTGCATATACGATATAAAGATCGACCCTGAGACGGGTTCGTCGACATTTTGATAATAGTGTTGCGAGTATCGACACTTTGATATCGGTGGCCGTTTCTATAGAGATGTTAACATAGGCCAAGGTATTGTACAAATTTAGAATTTGTATACATTTTAGGGCTCCGTAACCAATAAAAAATTGGAACAAGAATTTAAATAAAACACTTTAGCGGTTTAAAACGCGATATATTAGTTAAACTTATTTGAAAATGATTTTTAACTTCGGCCCGACGTTTCGTGGTCGGGGATTTCGTGGTTGTGTGTACTACTCGCGGAAACTATAGACAAGAATTTGTTTATTTATTTCATCCGTTACTGGAAATCTGGATATTAAATTGGTGGTGGCAATATCGAAACTCCGGGTGACAAATCACCGTCCACAGATGAAAAAGCCGTGACGTTTAATGGCGTTTTAGTCTGTGTATTTCACCTACCTCCAAGTGAACGTCGTGCTTATCCGTCTAAGCCAAGAAGCAGTAGCTATTAATTAAATATGTTTGGATTACCTTAGTCATACATACACATTGAAGTAAGAGACTAAGATATAATATAAAATGTTGTCTAGAACACAGCAAACGCAAGAAGGAAGGATTGTAATATGAGACCTTATCGCCATAAATGATTTTTTTCCAGACTAGCTAATAAGTCGTTAGAACTTGCTATCAAGAGCAATTAAAGGAACAAAAATGTTTTTTTAACAAACACTATACCTTTATAATTTTATTAATCGAATATAAATTGAAAAACGACACGGGCAGGACTTGAACTGGCATCACGTGTTCTGTGATGTTTCTCTTAACAATTGAGCTATCGTGTCACACACGTCATCGTCGATATTTTTTCAATACATGAACCTCTCTTACAATACGTTTAAAATACGTTATATTCGAAATTCGTTATCGTCGTGTTAAGTTGGCTACAGCCTTAAATAGCTATGCAGATGGTTCTCCTTAGCGAAGGTCAAAGTTTTTTAATCTCTATCGATTAACACCAGGAATACTGAGCAGGCACGGAGAGCTTCAAAAGATAACGAGCACACGTAAATTCAAGCATTATCTCTCGTCAACATTCACTTCACGGGTTTATTATGCGTGAATGACTGCGTAAACAGCCAAGTAAGCGATTGTATCGCGATATTAGATTCTCCTGTATTATCTGTGTATTGATATTCAGCATTCTATTCAAACGAAATAGGCCGACAGCGCATCTTGTTTAGATGAAGATGGCTAGAGTATTGCATATCATTGTCTTTCGGGCTGTTCGGCCGATGTGAGCGAGAAGAGGTTCTCGACGTTTCGCCATCACGTGTGGACGGCATCATCAGGAGATGTTGACTCCTCGATTGCTCGAAGAATTATAATATGTATATTTATTGGCTCACGTTAGCCGAACAGTCCGAAAAACAATGATATGTCAATAGTTTTTTAATTGTTTTAAATAAATCCTTAATCACTGCAATGCTCCACAACAAAAGGAACTAACATAAATGACGGCTATTCCGCAAATTTTTCAGCTTACACATTACTCATAAGCAGTAATGAATGGGACGCTGGCGCGGGGCGTACAGAGTTAAATATAGATCTCGACAACAGGTGGTGTTCACCCTTTCACCCACGCAGACCTAAGTCTTCGTTACTATGTGTACATTGATATATTCAAACTTATGTATAACTATGACATAAAACATTATAAACATTAGGTTTAACGAGAAATAATCATAACGAAATTAATCTCGGCCATTTCTATTACTAATCAATTATGTAAAAATAACCCACATTTAACGGTTTAAAACCGTGAAAGATATTAGTTAAATTAACTTATCTTTAAACCGTCAAAAGTGTTGTATTTAAATGTTTACGAGTCTCCTATTATATTTAAACTATGTATTTTAAAACTTATTATTATATTTAAACTATGTTAAAACTTGTTAAAACGACGATTGCATGACCGAGAATCGAACTCCCGATCTCAAATGTCAGTTGAGTAGTTATTAATTTTTTAAGATAGAGGATGACAGACAAGCATGAGGGTCACTCGATGGTAGGTATGCGAAATAACCCTGCCGACTGCCATACAACATCTAAACAAGATGGGCTGTTGACTTATTTCGTTTTGGATATTCGTAATTTAGTTAGTTTTTCAGATTAAATCAAAGTTAATCTTAAACGTTGCTTTACGCATTTTTATAAGAGAGATGCTTTAACGTAAATATTAAAACGCTTTTAAAGAGAGAAAGAAGCTTTCATATAAATTATGATAAAAGTTACATCTTCTCCTATGTCGAAAATAGTAACGGGAAACTAGCAAAGCTAATTTTGCAAACATCGAACATTTGACGCTACTAGAATGCGCACGAGTTGAACTTTATGTTTGTTCCATTTTACTTCCTATGTGCCCAGATGCAAGTGATAGAATTAGCTTAATCGCAATATCTTCGAATCAAAGCTTGTTGCTGACGATGTAGTCTGAATTTAATAATCAATCTTTATTCTGGTATCATTGCGAATTTATTTTTCAAAATATGTCGGACAAGACACGTCTGTTGAGAATCAAACCAACGACATGTAGATTAATAGCTATATATTTTTAACAACTTTATTAAAGTAGTATTGTTTTTTTCGTGTCGAATTTTTTCCTTGTTATAACCGATTATATATCAGATATTATTAAACATAAAATGAGGCTGCTAGGGGCAGAGTGGCCGAATAACAAAAAAATAAGATTTTCAATAAGGAGGAAAATAAAAATTCGCAACTAACTGTTAACAATTTTTGGTCACTGTGCTTTTGTAAGTAACATTTTTAGACTATGAAAATATAAATGTGTAACTCAAGTCATAAAAAATGCATTTAGGCTACTCTGCCTCTAGCGGCTGCATATTACATCTGTTCTTTTTCTTGGAATCTCGTAATGTTTCTGCTTGTTTACTGTATTATCTGAGCGGTTAACTGAACCAGAGATTGTTATCTGTATATTTGAAAATAAATCCAGTAATCCAATCCGATCATCAGTCACAATTTGCCACGCGTGACTTCTTGGCTTCTGTCTCGACGTAACTGACCCTGAACACTAAATATAGACGGGTGCAGCCCTTTTATGCGTCCATAGACGATAATTCACTCGTTTGGACTGGATCTGCTTCGCTTTCTAGTAGCGGCGCTAATACTGTTATTCCGAGAATTGAAAGTTCCATTTTTAAATCCTTATATTAAGTAGAACTTATAAATGGTTTAACTTGATGGGTTTGATAAAACTACTCGTTTTATACGAGAGCTTATTCAAAGTATCATCTGTAGCTAACGCGCGTGTTACGAGAAGTTAATCGCTTTTAACCGTTAAAAACGCGATTTTTTTTATTTATTAAGATTCAAAACACCTATCTATCTTAAGTCCATGACTGCGCCTACTGTAAAACATTTGAAACCATATTTGAAAAGAAATTACTAAACATATCGTTAAACAGTGTTGTTTATTTAAATCAAGATCAAATACGTAAATGAATAAAAACATTTCAGGAGTTAAGTTATATTCTATCATGTCACTTCTTCATTGGCTTCTTTTCTGGTACATAATCAAGTTGGCTCTCTGCGTCGTGTGGCCAGAATGTTGGTTTTCCTACTGGATCTAGGGCTTGATCCGGATACATGTCACGGTATATCTCCATCGTCATATCCTCGAATTTGGGCAACTTTTTGATTCTTTCCAACTCCTTGGTGGCTCTATTAACGTAATTTAACGTAATATATGTATTTATAATTGTCTTACCCGAAATACTGGCATTTTTACTGATCGAACCAACATAAAGACTGAACAAAGAATGTAATTAAAATTAAAGTAGTATATACTTTTGAGGGGCATAAAATATCTGAGACATACGAAGCTTGTAAGAAGCCAAAGATAGAAGAAAGACTGATAGAAAGCAAAAGAAGATTGTATTCTATGTCAAATAGCAAGAGAATACATAAGGGAGCATAAAGAACTATCAACTTATCAAAGCATTAAATTTATAGTTCTAATACAAAGTAGAGATGTGTTTATTTGGCCCTTTTGTAAGTTTAAAGCAGCCGATTCGTTTGTTTTGGCTTAGATCTAGTATTTCCAATTTGGGCTTATAAAAATCAGTATGATCTACTTCTTCTTTTTAGCTTTTATTAGGGTATAAACTTGAAAATTTAATTAATTTGCTACTCACGCCTCAATTTCTTTTTGTCTCTCATCGCAGTACGCCTTGATTTCTGGCTGAAGCGCTTTCCACTGTTCATCAATTGACGCCGACAACGTATCCTCAGGGTAGGGTATTTTGAGGGCTTCGTACTCTTTCTGGAATTTTTCAACCATGCCAGCGACCGGTACTAGACTTTGGTACTTCTTCCAGTCAATTGGCGGAAGCTCGGGTGGACTTGCATTTACTCTGCATGGATAGTGTTCATTTTAGACATATGAATATGTTTTTATTTCATTTACAAACCGCGATGTAACAACCTTTAATTATTTTAGTAGTTTATTACTCTACCTTCTCAAATAAGCATCAGCCTTAGTTTTGAACGCTAGAAATTTCCCCTTTTGATCAGCAGGCACTAATTTCTGCAGTTCGGCCCAGTTTATAGTAGTTTTAGTAAATCTCTTAGCCATATTTATTTAAAACTAAACTATTATCAGAGTAAAAACATCAATATTTTTATTACTGACATTTTTCAAAAAGTTTTTCACTAAATAGGCTTTTATGTCTCAACTAAAAAATTGTTTACTTTCATATTATACTTAATATAAAAAATATCTTTTAACTACGGCCCGACGTTTCGGATGCATCTGTATTAATGGGGAGAAACTGCTAAAAGTTAGCAAGTAAAGCTAACATTTTAAGTAGTTAAAAAGTGTTTTATAGAGAGAGTGTTGTTATAACATTCTATATATCTTACGATATTTGAAAGTAATAATAACCGTGATGTAAGTAATCTTATCGTTTTTATATCAGTTCATGATGAACGTGCAGAACTGAAAAATTATCTCCACCTTGCCATATTGTCCGAAACGTACGTATTCAGATATAAGGGAATCGATTAGCCGCCACGCGATGCAGAAGGGTCAATCAGGACGCAAAATTGCGTGTACGCAGATTCTGCATCCTGGCCTAATCTTTGGGTCGGAGACCGTATGTCAACGACTTGGCATCTGTGTGCTAATGCCCTTAGTCGTTGCTTCTATGCCTCTGGGCAGTGGATTAAGCCTTCTCTAGACTACCATGCTATAATAAATATTTTAGATATGTTAAACCTCACTTAATAAAATTGTTTTGGGCAAATACATTCGTATAGCATTATATAGTATAATGTAACAAGGTTCATTGTTAAATAAATGAAATCAATTTTCTTGCATGTAAGGATTGGAATTGAAGCCATCCCCTGTTCAAAAGACGTCTATAGTGATGGACTAGTCATTCAGTGTAGAAGGATATCATTATTTTGTTTCCATGAGACTCGAATACAGGACCTCTCTCGTTTGACGAACTAAGCAAGTTGATAGTCAATAATGTATATAGTACATTGAAGTATACGCATGCCTATAATTAGATAGCTTTGAGTCATATGCGGTTTATATTATAGTAGTCTGACAGAAGCATTAGACGTTCCGAAAATTGTTTACCGTTGAAACGTTTATTATAATTTCGATAGAATTCTGAGCAATCTTGATTTTATTTAAAGCATTCTTGTCCGTCTTCGTTCTTTATTTCGTTATAAGATTTGTTGCGTTTTAATCTATCGGGGAACACAGGTGCGTTAACCATGACAAAATATTTTTATTAGATATCTATACTTTTCTATACTTAATATATAAAGCTGAAGAGTTTGTTAGTTTGAACGTACTGATCTGAGGAACTACGAGTTCGAATTAAATAATTATTTTTGTGTTGACTAAAGCATTTATTGAGGAAGGCTATAGGCTATAAAACATCGCTTTGTGGCTAATAGGGTCGAAGATGCAGTGGGAAATGTAAACAAAACGGGGGAAATTTTTCATCTCTATGTAAATCCCTAAAAAATGTGTATAAAAGAATAATTCCTCTTTAAATGTTCCTGCACAGTCCTAAAGTGACTTTTATAATACCAAAAATGTTTTTATTGTTTTCGTGGTTCAAGATAAAAGAAAATGTGTTGTGCCGCAAGCATTGGTAAAGTTAGCATAACACCGCGAATATTTGATAAGATAATGCCCAATCATATCTGAGAAGACGATAAGAATATTTTTATTTTGAGATAACTTTTACATAATTCGTAATACAGTTGGCGTTAATATCGACACTGGTAAATTGTGAATGCGATTATTGAAATAATAACGCTTTATGGGCGTCGTTACGTAACGCATAACATAACAGTCTGACACCTTTCCTTTCTCTGTAGAAAAAGGCTTATCAAATTAATTAAGAAGACAACCTGGAAACAGAGGGACAGACAAGATGCTAGGCTTATGCTAGGTATAGAACACAGAAGTCTGATCAACTACTTGCCCGTTAAAGGAACGGATCAGTGAAACGGACACAGCAATGTGTTCGCCCCATGTCACGCGAGGGGGAAACGGGCTTTCACTATTCACTTATGCTAGGTATAGATTATATTATACACATAGGTTAATTATTTTAGATTGTTTCCTTTTTTATTAACTGTTAAGGTTTAAGTTACCTTTAGTTAATATTGGTGTCTTTGCGTTTGGAGTAACTTTTAAAATTGTTTATTGGTCTTTATGTACAATACATTTAAGCATACAAAGCTATCCTATTTGCAGTTCCACATCTTACAGGGATCACAGCAATTCTCGTCTCGTCCGTTTCCTCTTCCCCAATCGTCACCAAAGCAGTGATTTTAATGAATAGCTTACGCCCAATTATTACCCCTAATTTCACCCTTACAAACGGGCGAACAAACACGCCGCTTCAATTACAAGACATTATTACAGGCATCGTTTCCGCCGGATATCGTGCGCAGCGACACTTCGAATCGTCGACACATTTACCATATCACTCAGTTATTTCCGAGGACGACCACTCGAATTTTCAAAGGATTGTTCTATTTCTTACGTTGGAATACACGTGCTTTCTTGGACCGTTTCCGCCGGATCAACCCGTTACTGTTAACAAATTTGAATCACTTTGATGGGTTATTAATGGACACGATGAGTGACGTTATGAGGTTTGCGGTGTAAACGTGAAGAAATAGCCGAAAAACGTGCATTCATTTACGAAATAGTATAGAAAGATGAATTTACTACCACAATTAGACACAAAGACACACTTCATAAAACTTTATAAATACAGAATTTGACATCTGTAGCTAAATGGTTAAACATGTTGCCTAACATTGCGTTAGGGAGGTCCTGGGTCCGAATGGTGCGGAAACAATAGATTGTTTCACACAGGATTTAGAAGTCTGCACAACTCCCTGCTTCTAAAAGAACCGATTAGTGAAACGAACAAGAGATGTGTTTGCCCCGGGGGAATCAAATTTCATTTATATATCATATATTTCCAGTTATCCTGAATTCTTAAATAGATATTCCTAACAATTTAATTTATTAAACCCTATATTTTTACAAAAATAATTTACTTTGTGTAGTAGTTAGAGTAGAACATTACACAGCAATCTTGTATTTCGATTTAATAATTTTAAAAAATATAACACGTGTTAATTTATTATATCTTGATATACGCTTTCCTGTAGCATATATTATATTCTTAATATTAAGCTTCTAGCATTGATGTACAGTGACCACAGAACACTATCACAAGAAGTTCGTGATCACTCTTGTGGTCAACGAAGCCCTACTATTGCCTTGATCGCTGACCATAAAATTAACTTGACGTTCTGTTGGAACTGGTTATACAAGAAAATAACGCGCACTTTTTTAAATGAATACGGGAATGGGTGCAAAACAACTGTACGTTTATTGAATAAAAATGACAAATGAGATCTGTAAATAAAGTTTGTACGTGAGCGAGAGAGAGACTGGGGCTTAAAGAAAGAAAGAAACAAACATTACCATTTCCTTTTATTTGAATCTCTGGATACTACAAATATTATGTTAAAATTAAAAATTTTGAACGGTTTAAATCAAGTCATATTTTTTATTTTATTGATTTAACGTTTCGAAGTCATCTTTTTAGTATAACGTGGCGATTCGAATCTCGGAAAAACATATAAATCTTTACTTTTAATATTAGAATCATGACATGCAACGTCGCAATATAATCTCTATTTGTTGCAGTCCCAGCACAATGAAGCTGGAATGGACTGAGAGCGAGTCTGACTATGGTTTGGAAGAAGCCGCATTTTATGAAGCTCCCACCATGACAGCACCTCCACCACGCAAGCATGTCTCCTTCAGCTTGCGACTAGATCTGGTAAGTATAGTACAATTTTTATATATACATTCTTAGTTTTAAGTTTTAATAATGTTGCTAGTCTATTTATAATGCATTATGGGTCATTCAACGGCCTAGAGCAAACGTAAAAAGTAATTGTTTATAAATATTTTAACAATATCGTTCCACGTGGTGGAAGAATACAATGATATACGTAAGTTTAACACACACGAAGCTTACACACTAATTTTAATGGTAGTTTTTTAATATTCGTATTGATACTTCTTGTCTTTATAAGTAATTTTAAGTAAATAAACTTTAAATGGTAAACATTTTTTTTTATTATATACTAGCTGTGTCAGTGACTTCGTCCGCGAGAATGTCACGACGTCGGTTGCGTCCCTTCCTGTCATTCTTGCAAGTTTTTTTTATATCGTTCAAAAAGAAATCATTCTTTCATATATATTTTTTGCGTGTTAAACCGTTTTGGCAGCGTACGCATCTGAGACCCACAGAGATGAAAAATTTCCCCCGTTTTGTTCACATTTCCCGCTGTGTATTCGCTTCTATTAGTCACAGCGCAATGTTTATAGCCTAGTAGGCTAAAACAGGGACTATAGTACTAGTATAGCCTTCCTCGAATGCTCTTACCAACACAAAAATAATTTTTCAATTCAACCCGTAGTTTCTGATATTAGCGCGTTCAAACAAACAAACTCTTCAGCTTTATATATTAGTGTAGATTAAGAAACTACTATTAAAATTAGTGTGTGTAACTAAATAAGGCTTTCTTATTAATTAACTACATATAAAGTGTATCTATTGCTCAACCGGTCGAGATGGTTGAAAACCTTGATCTTGACTTTGTAACGAGAGGAAATCCGATTATAAGAGGAAAAGCTACATCCTCGCAGACCGTTGCTTAGGCCAGTTCAATTTGTGGAACACGTTTAGAAATTGCGTTGTTTATAGCGGATATTGAAACGTGCAATTACCATAATGAGGAATTTTATTAAGGAATATGTATAGAAAGAAAATAATGTATATTTTCATGTATCAAACAAATTATTTCCTTAAAGCTAAAAGCCGATGTAATTAGGCGCACAGCGGCCATAACATTTTCAAGACTCAGTTATAAAAAGGGTTAAAGGCGACCGAAAATTGTTGCTACCTGACAATCGATTCTCGGTCGCGAAGGGCACAGAAATCTGAATCATTTGCCAAGAAATAAACTAGATTAGCATTTGTAAGTGCGCGGGGGATGTGACATAAAACATGATTTACTATTTTCTATAACTGTTTTAGACATCCTAAACGTTTGTCTTTTTGTGAGCTAATAAAACAAAAAAACATCAAACCAATTGTTCTATTGAATTACCTAGTTTATAATATAAAAAAAACTCGTACTTTGTAAAATGTTCAACACAAATATGGCAACTCAAGAAAGCAAGAGAGAAGCTGACAAAAACTAGTCTAAATGAGACTGGTTTGCCGATAGCAGATAGAATAATTTCAAGACGTGTTCTGTAATTGCTTCAAGTCATTATACCACTTGTTAAGTACAGTATATTGTTGTAATTCACGTTTAGTACTATGGGACTACAGGTCGTATTATCATAAAATAAAATTCTTCTCAACAAGGGTAAATTATAGAATGGAAAACTGCTGTTATAACATACTGTCCGTAGTTTACATGAGAAGTAAACATTTAAATAAAACACTTTAACGGTTTAAAACACGATTTATATTAGTTGAACTTATTTGAAAACTTTTTTTAAGTACGGTGCGACGTTTCGGATGTTTTGCAGCAACCTTGGTCTCCTCGTGTTTTATTTAAATGCTGTTATGATTTTAAGATTAAGACATATAGTTAATAAGACAAAGTAACGAAATAATCTTATTAATAAACTTACGATCCTTTTTAACGGTGAACTGTTTCAAACTGTCTATTACCTTATGTTACGTAATTTTTCTGATAATAACTGATGAAAGTAGCTTAAGCTGACACCCGGAGCCATTTTTAACATGTTTTCGTTTAGTTGAAGCAAGTCACCATTTAAGCAAAACATTATTTACATATTATAAGCACCAAGCATTATGTGCATTTAATTAAACAAAATTATATTTAAATAAAATGTGTATTAGTTAAACTTTATCAATAATTTTAACTACGGCCCGACGTTTCCGTTGCTTTGCAGCAACCGTGGTCACGGGGAGACCTCCCCTTGACCAATGTTGACCAAGCCGTGAATGTCTGTACATGACATTTGGCGTTTTCAACGCTTAAAAGGATTTTATATATATGTGTACGACTCGCGTGAACTACAGACAGTATTTTACAGAATTTTAATTTAACAGCTAAGCAAATTCAATGTGTGTTATTACTTATATGTATTCTAGGCGACAAAAAACAACGCAAATCTATTTTTTTCCAAAAGGCCCTATCTAATTTATATTTAAGCGTTCATCGATGTATTCTAATCAGGAATCACAGTTGAATTTCGGTTAATTTAGTATTCATCGTCACGTAAGCACGTAAGGGCGGCTACCACCGGAAACTGTCAGGCGATGCGGCGCGGGCGCAAGCCAAGCGTGCTTAACTGTCGTTCTCGCCACGAAATCATTGTCTTCTATATACTAAAATTAGATATTTATATATCATGATGTATCGGTGTTGAAAAGGGTGTGTATATTAATGGGAAAGAGAGCTAGTACTTTATATTAATAAGACGTTACTACAGAGAATATATCATTTTGACAAATGAGGTATAAATAATCCGGCTCATTCTTTGAAATATATCATATTATGGGTTTAAGATAAATGCATCGAATAATTGTAGAATAATTTTGTAGAATGTACTAATAAGTATTTACGTTATGTGTATTTGTATTTGTAACATTATACCCCATATATTACTATATCCTATATTGATTATTGACCATCTCTATACCTAAACGGTAGCATGTATACACTACAGTAAGCGAGGGTCCCGGGTTCGAATCCCGGGGAAACAGTAGATTGTTTTGATGGAACAGCACTAAAAAAAAGGTCTGATCTGACTGTAAATGAAACCGATGTGTGAGTGAAACGGACACAGATATGTGTTCGCCACAAGCCCCACGGAAGGCAACGGGATTTGATTTATGCCCTATATTTGTCCAAATGACGTATTCTCATAATTAATCAATATTATTCCTTCCTCAAACGATCCATTTCGAACAATCAATCACCAAGAAGTATCGAAAAAAGGTGTCTCTATTTCAAAGAGTCCGCTTTTTATTTGTTTTGTTTTTATTTTTAAACTTGTCCGTGACACTGACGCTAAGCTGCACTAATGAGTTTCGACATTAGCTTACTGCGACGAAAAACTTTTTGGATCTTTTACGAATGAGTTACGAAGTGTGGTTATAATTATCGTAACAGATAATGTCAAGGAGAAGAAATGAATCGAGTCTAGTAGAATTGTCTGACATACGGACCATAACTTTTCCCGCCAAAAATACAAAATAGGTACCTAAAATAATTGTTATGTAGGTATTGTAGAGAAGTACTGTCTGTAGTTTTTTTAATAAAACACTAACGGTTTAGGGATACTTCCAGCAACCAAACGTTGGACCGTAGTTAAAATAATTTTCAAATAATCGCGTTTTAAACGATTAAAGTGTTTTTTTTTTTGTAAAGTAGTGTCTACGAAAACCATAGTGTTAGATGCGCTTTTGTTAGTTCAGAAGTAATACAACGTTTTAAAAGATTTAATAAACCGAATTTGCTTATTTATATGTTGAATTGCATGTTTTGTGTTGATTATTTTATAGATCTAAGTATAAAAATTAACAAGATTAATTTTGAAAAAAAAAAAAAAAAAAAAAAAAAAAAAAAAAAAAAAAAAAAAAAAAAAAAAAAAAAAAAAAAAAAAAATTTTTTTTTTTTTTTTTAATTTTATTATATTTTTTTTTCCCCCCCCAATTTTTTTTTTTTTTTGGGGGGTGCCGGCCCAAAGGTTTTTTAAAAAAAAAAAAAACCTATTATGGGAAAAAAAAACCCTTAAAGAGGTCAAATGGACTATTTGTATATTTCTCAAAGCTATTCATTAGTTTTCGAGATTTGTGCGTTCAACGAAACATATAGAAGAAATCAAAAGAAACTTGTAGAGATAAAATCATTTTTGTAGTCCGCTACCCTGAGCATATATACAAATATTCTTTATTGTCGCATAAACACGACTTAACACAAAAAATGAGAAGATTTAAGAACACTCTTCCACGCAACCGCACTGGAAAATACACAGTTATAAAATACCTAAGCGCATATTTCATATAATATGCCTGAACGATTGTTACTAGCTTATGTTCGATAGTAGGTGAAATAAAAATAATGCTCGTTCTAGCGTGTCTCATTAGGGGCCCGCCATGCAATATCCGGCGCCTAATTAAAGGGATTTTTCTAGTTATATATCCGCTTCGAGGATATGACAAATATGCCGTAATATTTCTTAGCTGTAATTAAAAATATTGCCTAATGATTAGCAATTATCACTAAAGGTGGGGCGAAGACGTACTCCTTGGTCAAAGTGAAATCCCGTGTGGGGCATGGGCCAAACACATTTCTGTGTCCATTTAATTACAGGCAAGTATTTTCTTTCTTGGGATTTGAACCCAATACCTCTCGCGATTAACGCAATGCTACGCAACACGTTTTAACCATTTAGCTACAGAGGCCTTGGTCAAGTGTGAACAATTTGTGCGTGGGTCTTAGGTTCGATTCAAGTAACTCAAGCTTGTCTATCCTACTGTATTATGAAAACCAGTACTAGGTCTTTAACATTTTTGTCGTAAAATGTTTGTAACACAAAATGAGTTGAATAATAGCTATGTTTTGTAAATAGGTCTATTGTTGTGAAAAATGTATAAGTCACATATTGGCGAATTGTTAGGGATTGGTCGAAATTAGGTTTCTTGAATTTAGGCAATGACTAAACTAATATTTTTAATCACACCACAACTAATCGAATTCGTAAGAACGTGCTTACACTGATTATAAGTGTATATAGATGCTTTACAAAGTAACTTATTTGAGTTTGAATGCTGGGAAAACACGATGACTACTGAATACATGGTACAGCCATGCCCCATGTAGAGAAAACAGGATTTTACGTTATGATAAAATGTGATCATGATTAATAAATATGAGAGTGCTATATATTAAACCTCGCCTTACGACCCACAATGCGATTTTAGTAATATTTTAATAGTTCCTATTTTAAACCGTCAAATGGGTGTGTGAAATCCCATTCCTCCTCGTGGGGCACAGGGCGAACACATTATTTGTGTCCGTTCTGATCGGCTTCATTTACAGGCAAGTAGGTGATCAGACTTCTGTGCCCTGTCCGACCGAAACAATTTACTGTTTCCCCGGGTTCGAACCCGGGCCCCTTCGCGCTTAACGCAATGTTAAGTAACACGTTTAACCAATTAGCTACAGAGGCGGTCAAACCGTCGATTACGTTCTGTTATATATATTATTAACACATTGACAGCTTTAGTAGAAGAATAGATCACACGAAAACAGCAAACGAGCTTAAAAACCGAAGTCATAAATAAAAGAGAAGTTTGAACGTGTCACTTCAAATCTTTCTACGATTTGGTTAAACGCTGAAGTAGATTTATTTTAATCGTGAGCTTAATTCTTAAAGTTTCAGCTGATTAATAGTGACAAGTTCGTCGTGTCTAACCGAATAATCTGAAACGTGACAAATTTTTAAAGGAAGTAGACGTTTTTTTTATTACCCGACCACAGCGAATATAAGAAGAAGGGATTTTTAATTTTAAAAACATACATTTATACAAACATACATACATACATGCATTTATAAACATTCATTTATTACTGTAGAGTGTAGAGCTTGGAGTTAATAGATTAGCAATGGGGATAATATATTATGTAGTCTGTAGTTTACGCGAGTAGTACACATTTAAACAAAACACTTTAACGGCTTTAAAACGCGTTTTATTTTTAACTACGGCCCGACGTTTTGGGAGCTTTGCAGCAGCCGTGGTCACGGGGAGACCACGGATGCTGTTTAATATATGGGAAGACAAACTTAGATTTTAATTACAGCTAAGTACAAACTAAGATGATTTTATCCTCTGCTTATACTAATATTGTTACCCTGGGATTCGACGTCAAGTTCGCGCTTAGCAATAAGAAACATATGCTATTATTATTTGTTTTCATAGTGTAGTACTGAATACTTTCATAGAAGTTTTTTTTTAATCATCTGAGAAAGAGGTTTTTTAATTTTTTTTGTAGATACGTAACAAAATTAAAGTTAAATAAAGCACCTTATACGCCTTAAAACCGAAATATATTAACCTTTGTAAATAAAAAAACAGCTTACATGGCGGGCTCGGTGTAATACTAACAATGTATGGTTAATAATCAACGGGTCGCGGTTTGGATTCCCACCGGGTCCAACATAATCTATTTATAATTTTTTTGCACCACGAACATCATCTGGAAATCATAATGTAAAAACAGTAAAGTTTAATCGCGTTCCGGTTTTCCGAGTACGCATATCCAAAATAGGCCGACAGCACATCTTGTTTACATGTCATATAGCTCGGATACCTACCATCGAGCAAACTCGAAATCTGAACAGTGTTTTTTCAGTGCCCAATAAACTGTATTTCTATCTATCGGAACAAATACTTCCCTTCCGCCCTCATCGATGAACGAATGACAATTAGTGAGAAATCCATCAATAAATCACATTCCTTAGAGAGTAAATTGTATATCCGTCATCAAGGTACGTAAAATCTGTATTGGGTTCGTGCCCCCCCATATCTGTAATCACGTGCTTTGAGGGGCGGGCGACCCCTCTTTCTGAACCGTAAATAACCTGGCGTTTATGGGTTAATCATTTGTACGCATCACCGCGCCGCACCTCATCATTGTATGTGGTCTTTCTTGAACGAAAAATCTATTTATTTATTAAGAAGCCGTGTTGCTTAACACCAATGAGCGTTTAAAAATGATTTAGAAATATGTTACAATCAGTGGGAGTCGAACCCACGAAAAATGATAGCTATCATCAGTGAAATATTTTATTAACGAGCTATCGCGTATTTTATGCACATGCTTACAAAAGACTGATAAAACGTCATCTTTACTCTTTATTCATTGGTGAAGATGATAGAAGTTCTATCGCTATACAACTTCAACAAAGTTTACAAATCAAACGGCAAAGTTGTAGCTTACTAAATACTAATTATAGATCATTTGAGCGGACTCTGTATAATTTAGATATTGGCTTAACAAATTAAATACTAAAAACTTTACACAAAGAACTTAAATACTGTCTGTAGTTTACACGAGTAGTACACATTTAAATACAATGTTACTATTTAAAACGCGAAGTAAAATTTATTTTAATTAATTAACTACGCTACTGCTACTGCTGCAAAATATCCGACGTTTCGGATATTTTGCAGCAGCCGTTAAAGTGTTTTATTTAATTCAAAACTTTCAACGTCATGAAACGACAATACAATTGAAGACTTTAAAAAATAACTCAAATATATCGCGTTTGAAATCGTTAAAAGTTTATCTCTTAGTACCTCTCACGTAAAATACAAATAACGCTAGGTACAATTTATGGCGATGGCATTTTAACTACTCTCCTAAAGTCATTGTCGTTTGTATTTCGCCAGAACCACACACAAATTATTTGCTTTCCTGTGATTTACACTAATACACACTAGAGCATACTAAACGTGTATTTACATACATTTTATTGACATCAAAGTCGATTCGAAGGACCAACGTTTCGCATTGTCTCGGTTTAAGCTCGCAATGATCGCCACCGGAAACGAAACTCCTGCGCAGAATATTGAAAAGTATTCCAGCTTAAATCACGTAGAGCTGAAAAAAAGTTCGTCTCGAGTTGGAACTTGTTCATTTGTTTTTTTAAACTTAAATTATTTATACATTTACTTTTTTAAGTATATTATTATTTCCACCATCTTGACTAAGTACTCAAACTTATTGCCTAGCATTGTACTAAGCCAGAGAAGTCTTTAGTTAGAATTTTGGGGAAACAAGCTTTGTTTTTAGCTTTGTAACTAGCTTTGTCAGAGATTTCATCCGCGTAGAATAGTTATTTTGGGTATATATATTGTTTTGCAAACCTCCTCTTTATATTTAGAAATTTTAGCTGTGCCACTACGTTGGTCTCTTCTTATAGGTTAAGCTTAAAAGATAGACATATAGTGTGGCGGACATTTTTTAGATCATTAATAGACAGATAATTGTTTTTTACATATTTTTGGTTATCTTGAACCATTTTGCAACACTCGCCATAGAAACAAAGATGAATATTTTCCCCGTCGCGCGATGTTTTAAGGCCTTCCACGATAAATGCTCTAACACAAAAAAATATTTCAATTCGAACCAATAGTTTCTGAGATTAGCGCGTTAGAACACACTCTTCAGCTTTATGTATTAGTATAGATTATAGGAACCGGTATTATATGTAGCATGTAATATTGTAATATAACGTTAATGAACCTAATTCTACAAATAAATAAAGAGACATATTTTTCTAGTGCGATGAAGGCGGCGGTGTTGGTGACAAAATCAAGACTGAGCCGCTTGAGGCAGAGGAACCACGCGCCATGCAGAAGGTTCCGTCTCTATCTGATCTCACGGATCCCGAAGCATCTTTGGGTAAGTCACAGATGGTCATTCTCTTATCTAAATATTAAGTATTCTACTAAAAACACTGAAAATAACTGTTTGAAAGCTAATAATGATGTTAGAATACAAACAGTACGTATGTTACAATCAAAATGATAAATCTGGCAATTATATTATCTAGCCATTATTTATAATATCTACTCAATTTAGGTAAAGTGATAATTGACAGAATTAATCATATTAACTAACTTTTATTGATATCTTCAAAGACTGTAATGAAAAAAGTGTTATTTGAAAAAGTTTATTTTATGAATTGAAAAATTATGCCATAGATTATATGTTTATTAACACCATTAAAAAAGTTATTTATTATTAATTTATAAATAATAAAAAAACTCAATACACCACGCGGTAATTGTAAATATTCAAATTCAAAACTTTTTATTGCCCTTTTAACACATTTACAGTAAATCAATAATAAATAGATAAGATATGGCAATCGGTACCAGTCTCAGCTGTGCTGCTGAATGCTTATCACACTCAGCAGTGCTGATATTCAGACTTTTCCGGGTATGAGAAGAGTAAAGTTTTGTAAGATGAATTTATGTATAATGAACAGTCATTATGTATAATAGCTATTTAATCAATATGACTGTAACATATATATATTAGAGTTATAGTAATTATTGCGTAGGTACTTCATAACTACAGCAGATTCAAAGTAGATTATTCTCAATTTCCCCTGACACATGTCAAGGCTGCGTCAGAGTCAATCGGGAGCACACCTAGATGCGATAAACGCCAGGGAAGGATACCGTCCATTCTGCCCTATCCGGTAATACCTAACAGACTACATAAGCTAAAATATTGCTACATTACATACGGGTTTTGGTCTAAAAAAATAAAAAAAAATCCCAAGATAGCTGTCTTCAGTATAGCATTGTATACTAATCATGCTGGCGGATTTTTCCAACTATAGGTATTTTTGGAACATTTCTCCACTCCTATCAAAGTGAACTAAAAAAACGATTAAATATATCAATGTATGTGTCCCCACATATATAATATTGACACGAGCTATACAATATTCCTTGAATCTCGATTAGACCTACATGCGCGTGCGCATCTACAAAAACTCTGATAAAATATCTAACAAAGAGTTTCAGATGACAATGTTAAAACTTTTTAGAAGTGACACACTCTTGTGTAACACTATCATATCATATACTACATATTTGTTGCTGTATATTATCTAAATTATTACCATGATTAGGATAAGAATCTTACCTAAATATGTAAACGAAGTATTCGCCTTAAATACCGCTTTACTATAATAATGAATTAAAATTCTTTGTATTTTACTATTATTAGCTTATGTTGTTGTTTAATACTGGCATAATAAGCTCATTTATTAAAAATAAACATATACCTTATTAATACCAATTCATGCAATAACAATATGGGGTTCAAACTATGTATGATTACAGACTAGATGAACCCCGAATAGAATAATATGCCGCATCCTTGTTAGGGTCGATGCAGTTTCAGCGGGGCACTGTTTTCATAACCCACTTTACATGCAGCTATCAATAATCTTGACATCGCTTAACAATAATTAATATAAATCTATTACCTGATATCGAAATGGTTTAACTGTCTAGGTTTCAACATACATACATAAAAAGTTTGATTTTCACTTTAACGGTTTAAAACGGTGGTCACGGCTGCTGCACATCCGAAAATCCGAAACATCGGGCTGAAGTTAAAAATAATTTTCAAATAAGTTTAACTAATATGTATCGCGTTTACGCCCGTCAGTTTTTTATTTAAATAGGTACTACTCGCGTAAACTACGGACAGTATTACATTGCGTTATATTTAACTCTCGTTTAATTTATTTAGCGTTTTCCACTAGCACTTCATTAAAAATCGGTTGAATACGGCTTGGTTATCGTCTGTGGTATTGTTACTTCTAAGTTGCCGATTAAGTTGTATCTGTGGTTTGGATTTAAAATTCGAACACCAGATTTCCCTATTTTAATGACTCTTAACGTATGTGTTTTTTTCAATACGTATTGAGAATTCTTAAGTAATCCCGTTTCTGGTTATATACTTAAGTTTTCGTAAGTATCTTTGAATATGATAAATAAATAATTATAAATTACAAAATTTATTAATCAAAGATAACCTACAGAACCTCATTCAATGGCTACACAATGCAAAATTCATTCTTCTTTATTCTGTCATAATATCGATGCAATTTGCGTAAGATTAAAATATAGTGGTTGTAAATAACATAGGTCATCGGCCTCTGCACGTTCGGGGTGGTCTAAGTATACGGGCATATTGTTTCTTCTCTTTGCTTATGTACGCTGTGTTCTACGTGGGAATTTACTAAAATGAGAAGATTCCCACAGATTCTCATTTTAAGATTTGTTGTCAAGACGTGGGTTATATAAAGTATGAAATCCCGTTCCCCACATGGGGCGGATACTTTAGTGTGTCCGTGTTACAGATAGATATTTGCCGGTTTATTGGACTTCTGCGTCGCGCCCCGAAAATAAATCGTTTTCCCGAGATTCGAACCAAGGACCCCTCGTACTTTGAGCTATTGGAGGTGGTCAGGTACTCTGGGTATCATGAGTATTTAATAAGAGTGTCGGAGTTACGGAAAGAAATAAAAAATATCATTTTTAGTAATTAATTTAATTTGGCAGTTCAACAATTTGACTTTTTTAATACTAAAAATTGCTCGGTCATAAAACCATGTATGTATTTATTTACTTTTTTATCGCCTCATAGAGGCTTGCTTAGGAATATTATCACTATTATTATCACATACCTTATCGTCACATAAATACATAGAAACGAGCAATTCTTGTTTGTTTTCAGTATTTTGATTAACATATAAGTACATACATTTTTATTATTTATATCTTAATTGTTGTCTTATCTTCTTTTATAATATCTAAATTGCTTTTTAGTTAGCTAACAAAGAATATGACAAGAGTAGTTACTATTTTTTACTTACCATGAAAAAGTAAACTTTTAAAATGCACTCTAAATCGAATCTCGAAAATAAACCAACCAGCCTTTCAATAAATATAAATCTCAAGCAAAACGTTGTAAAAATCGGTCTTAAAACCGTCAAAAAGTGTTTTATTATCCGTAAACATCAAACAGCAAGTACAGAGAAAGTAGAATTATTTCGTATCCCCTTATCATATCAGTGTTCTAAGTAACAAGAACAATGCAGTAATTTGTTCCATAATATCTCAGACACTATGAGTCACTTGATCAATTAACTATAGAATTATATCACACGCAATACTGTCATTTATCACGACGAGATAACGTCAATTTTGGAATGAGCGAGACGTGATGATGGAGTTATGTTTATATGAATAATATCGTTGACATTTGTGACCAGACCTTATGACTATAAGAAATGTTTATTTACGTTTTATTTATGAGAATCGTAAGTGTAGAATAAAGTTACTACATATACATATAACGTATTTTTCTTTACTTGGCACTTTTGATAGACAAAAACATGATTTACATGAAATTGTGATTTTATCACTAGGTTTACTTTGATTCACACTAAAATACTATGAGACACTGGATTATATATTCAACTAAAGAACTACCTTAAATTCACTCAGTAAAAACCACAATTTCGTGTTAAAATTAATAAAAATCTTAAATGAGAATTTACACAAATGCACAGATTAAAAATTATCTATTTAGTTTGAGATGTAAGAAAAGTCACCGACAATAGAAGGTAGAAGTTTTAATCACGCACGATCGCTGAAAAGCGTTATCAACGTCGTGTTAAATAATATTGGCATAACAAAAAATAAGACGTTATAAAAGTGACCTTAAATATCGAGATCGTTTGGTCCATATATAATAAATATTTCTTTAACTATGTGTCTTCTGCGGCAACGACTGCACTTAGCTATAAAAAGGGCATCACTAGTTATCTATTTTTTGAAATCGGACATACTTGTTGTGGTCTTTTATCAAGTTAGAAAAAATTACTATGCAGCTGACATTTGCAATTTATGTCGGTGTAAATTATAGATGAATTGTGAATCGCGAGGAACGTTTATTCAAGTAAATAAAGAATTATATCAAAATTAAAATATCTTTACAATACTTATCATATTTGTTACGGTTTTCTTAATGCCTGTGAGTATGTACAAAAGAGATTTGCCAGATCTTTTACAGTTTTGTTCTTTACAAGTGTCTAATGTAGATGCAAAATCTAACCTTCAGGCGTTTTAATCGCGAATTTGTAAAAAACTACTTAACCTTATCTATAATTGAACATTAATTTGTTTTTTTTTTCATTCATTTGTATCCATCATTTTCTTTTACGAATATCTTTTTAAAAGTTGCATATTAACAAGCCATTTGTATTACTTCATTTAGGTATTATTAGTAATGGACGTTCAATCCTTATTCGTTACATATAACTACTTAAATGTTCAAAACCTCCGAGATCAGTAGTTTTATAAAACGTATCTCGGTGTATTAATATTACATTAAAAATTAAAATACCTCTGGACCTTCAATGTGAAAAGGGCTGGTTACTTTCTGATTTTTTTTTTTTGGTATTCTTTGTTTCTACTGTAACAAACCTTTTTTTTAAATTCTGTTGTCATAGATATTCTTCTTCCTAAATATTGTTTTTATTTATATCTTATTTATATTCGCTTACTCTAATGGCCTATAATTATTATTAAAAAATTTTAGTCTCTCGTTTTACTCCACCGTGGTTTATTCATAAATAATCTTACGACGTAGGTATTCACATTATTTTTTATTGAATTCAGGCTTCATCCGACACCTAGAGGATGTTGCCTCGGTTGCGGTGTCCACTTCCCCTCACTGTTGTACGATACACAGGATGTTGCCAAAACTACGTGCCTGTGTATATATTTACATTCACCCGTTACTAAAGTTACATAATTTGCAGTATATTCATCATAAACATGAGCTTTGGCTCAACTATAACAATATTA